TTTTTTTTTTTTGCTATTCTGTGGTAGCGATATGGTAATGGTTGATGGTTATGCTGACGGTAGCAACAAAAATTTTTTGGCGATAGTTGTCGTGGTTGTTTTTAATGCATACGAAGAAGGATTCAGTGATATGTCTACGTGTAGTATGAAGTCTTGCACAGGGCAGTGTTCTGAAGCCTTTTTTTTTTAATTTATGTTATGCTCGATAAACGAGTGCTTAGCAGAATTTGCAGAAGATGTTGTAGTGCCATATTGGTTTTTTACCAAACAAAACTTTATTACGATTGCAAATCATTTTTTAAACATTTGTTTACAAATCACTGTTGTAAGGATGTGACGAAGGAGGGAGGCACAAGATCTGCAAAAAACAAGAACGAGTGAATGAATTGAATGAATTAAGTTTTTTGTCTACTTATTGTTTTCTGCAATTGTAACGGAATGTTGCTGACTGTTGAATGAGATATGTCTAACAAGGCAAAAAAAAAAAAATAATAATAATAATAATAATAATTGTGCAAACGATAAAACAATAATAAAAAGTAATAAATGGTGAAAAAAAAAAAGAAAGGAAAGTGATTATTGCAAGTCTGTTTTCAAAATATACTGTTTCAAATAGCACTCAATACTGTAGTTAATGTCTGGTAACTAATTAAGCGGATATCAATCCTTCCCTTGTTTAATCAGTTCTCTTTTTTTTTTTCAGAGTTTTTTTAATTTAAGTGAAAGCAAAAAATAAAAAATGACTGCCAGAGTCTCTTTTTTTTTTTTGCTTGTACACTGATTTTTAACTGATTTGAAACCCTAAATACTATAAAGCAACTGCGTGTTCAAGGTACCACGCCTAAACAATTAACATTAATTATATTTTTTACTGTATCTGCTTTTTTTCGCAATGTTTTTATAATTCTTTTAATTGATGAAATTTTACTTGAGTAATCACAATTAAATGGTATAACTTTAAAGAAAATAAAAGAAAAATAATGGAGGAAAAAAAAAAGGGAGAAAGAAGAAGATGAAGAAGGAAAGGATAAATGCGTGTTATTGACAAATTTTTTGAGTCAAATAATGGTGATTTTTTTTTTTGGATTTATATTTGTCTTTTTTTTTT